GTCTCCCGGGCAGAGCGTTGCATGGGCTCATCACTGTGGGAGCATTGGCCAGGGGCAGCTGCTGGTCCACAGCCCCGTGGGGAAGATACCCTGGTCCTTTCCTGTCACCCTGCAATGTCCCCGTGCTGGTGCTCAGGCCAGCAGCACACCCTGGGATCAGTCTTGCTTTGGGATCATCTCTTCCAGCCCCCTCCGGCTGCTCCCTGGTGTTCCTGGTGCCCCACCAGCTCTGCTGAGATCCCTGGCACCATGCACGGGCCACCCCTCTCCCCTCCCATGTACCGCAGCCCTCGCCAGGCTCCAATGATGCACCAGCCTCCCAAGCAGCAAGGCTTGGGTCTCGGTGCGGAGATGGCTCTCTACCAGTTCCCCCCACCCTTCCTTCTCCTCTGGCTTTGGAAAAGCCTTCAGAGCTTGCTCACCCAGGCACCAACTCTCCCACCAGCTGCCCCATCACAGGCACTGGAGCTGTGGGACTTGGGGCAGCCCCATTTCAAGGCTTAATTCGAGCAATGTTTCAGAAAAGCATGAGATGAATCCATCTTTCAGGCCAAACAGCCCATGCTTCCTCACTAGTCCTATCCTTTTCTATATCACAGCCCCACACTGCAGCTGGTTGAGTGCAAGCAGCTGGGAATGTGCCAGCTCATCCCCAGGGCAGGGCTGGAGGGGAGAATTGGTGAGAATTCGCATGAAATTGGGTCTTCTGCCTGGTTGCATTGCAGGAGATGCTGAGGCTCAGCCCCCACAGAGTGCTCTTGGTGGTTGTAGCAGTGCCTTGTCCATGTCCCCAAGGTATCCAGAGGAATCACAGCACCCATGGTTCCAAACCTGTGCCACGCCATGGGTGTTTTGCAGCACACCCTTGTTCCTGTGTAGTGAGCTTGTAAAGTACAGAAAATGCTATAACCTCAGAGCAAAGTGCAGGTCCCCAGACAGGCACCAGGGCTAGAAGGAAGCAGCATCAAAAAGTGCGTGGTCTCCAACAGAGCTCAATCTTCCCAGAAAACCATTCTGTTTCCCTAGGGACAGAAAAAGGTGGCCCCACGCACTGAGCTCTTGCAGGAGTTTCTGCAGCAGACTCGGGTAGCTCAGTGGGCGGCAGTGCAAGCGAGGGAGAGCCATCGTAGTGAGGTGGGGTTGGGTTTGGGCTCCAAACCGGCAGGACAGCTGGATCGCTCTGGGCATTGCATCCCCTCCTTTGGCCAACTCAGGGGTACTGAGCTGAACTGCTCACTTTTGTCCCTGGGCAAAGAGGGTTAGGGCAGATGGTGACTTATTTCTAGCATGGTCATTAGCACTCAGGCTGCCACAACACCCAGCAGCTCCTTCACAGACAATTTAAGACTCAATAGGAAACCTCTTCCCAAAATTAGGGTTAGGTCAGAGGTGGCTGTCAGCTGGAAAGTACACATTCGCTCCCTTAGCAAGCACAGATGCTCAGTCTTTGTCTTTCCACCCGACCCTCCATCCCCATCAGCATCCCGCTAATTGGGGCTAAGACCACTCCCTGCATGACTGGAGCAGTTGCACAGCACACAGAGCCTTTTCCACCCATTTTTTTCCTTTCCAAGCTTAATTAGGCAGCCTAGCACGGCACCAGGACTCACTGACCGCTTGTCCTCATCCTGCACACCTCGGGGCGGGCTCCCGGTGTGCACAGCCCTGGGAAGGGGCTCTGCTCAAGGAGGTGATCAGAGATCATGCGTGGCGAGATCCCAGGATGCTGCCACAGCCCAACCTGCCGCACCACTGGAGGCAAAAGGTTTTGGCTACGATCTTGCCCCTCCGAGCTCGCTGCCTGAGCAGGACCCATGCCGAGGCAGCGTCCTGGGATCTCGCCGCGCACGCTATCCCCAGAGGGAACTCACACACTCGGCAGCGATCCTGGCAGAGGAAGAAAGGTGTGTAGGGAGAGGTAATAACTGTTACCTGACCAACTGGTATAGCTGGAAAATGCAAGAGAGGTTTCATGGAAACAAAGCCTTCTTCAGACCTGGAACAGAAGAAGAAAATGGTAAGCCAAGTCTGGGTCGAGAACAGTTGCTCTGGGCTTAGTGCAATTATGCTAATTTTGTAATTAAAAAAGAAAAAAAAAGAGGTGGCGTTTGTGGGGTGGGGAGGGATGGTAGTGAGATGAAAGGCAATATGGGTGATGGGTGCTGTGGGACCAGGCTCTGGTTGATGCTCGACAGCCAGCCTGTGCCCGTGCCCAGCATATCATCATCAGATCCTGTGCACCAAGACACCCAAAACTGCTGCAGAGCAAAACCTCGGGGCTCACCAGCACATCTCTGCAGCCAGCCGGGGTGTACCAGCAAGGTCCCAGAGCCCACATGCGCTCATTGTAGGCCATAGATGACTTTGCATGGCTGCCTTGTGTTTTAGACTGAGGGGGGGAAAGAAAATCCCAACCCTAAAACTCTTCACTCTGCAAGTTCCCCTACTTTTTCAAAGTGCGATGCTCCGCAGTCACCATGTCCTGCTTTCATCCTTCTCTGGTGGAAAACCACATGAATCGGTCATGGGAAAACAAAGTTTAATGGATTTCAGTTTTATTAGAAACATGGAAAAAACCCATCGCTTTACAGGGATTGAATCTTGAGGGGAAAATGCAGCTGTCTGCTCTGAGCACAAGGCTCTCCTCGTTGGATCGGGGGATTGGGAGCCAAATCTTCTCCTCCGCCTTTGCTCTGGAGCTGCTTCTGTGGCTCTGGGCCAGCTGGGAGCTCAGATCTCCCCTTGGTGAAAGGGGCAGGTTGGGCCTTTCATCCCAGGATGCGCCTGGCTTCCTTTGCACCAGGCCAGCTCTGCAGTCCCACTGTTGCTTCCCTCCTAGGTGACAATAATCTCAATTTCTTATTGTATTTATTTCCAGAAGAGCTGCATGAGTCAGTCCTGTCTCCTTGAACCGAGCAGAGCCCTGTCCCTACTGTCCTCCAGGTTGCTCCATCGAGGCCAAGAGCCCCCAAAGCAAAGCAAAGCAAAGCAAAGCAAAGCAAAGCAAAGCAAAGCAAAGCAAAGCGTTGGAAGCTTGAAATTGCAGAAATTGCAAATTAAATTGGACAGTAGAAAAAAAATATTAATCAACCCAATGATTTTCTACTGGAAAGCTTTTGCTGGCAAAACTGCAATGAGGGAGATGCAAAGGGCATCTCAATTTCTTATTGTATTTATTTCCAGAAGAGCTGCATGAGTCAGTCCTGTCTCCTTGAACCGAGCAGAGCCCTGTCCCTACTGTCCTCCAGGTTGCTCCATCGAGGCCAAGAGCCCCCAAAGCAAAGCAAAGCAAAGCAAAGCAAAGCAAAGCAAAGCAAAGCGTTGGAAGCTTGAAATTGCAGAAATTGCAAATTAAATTGGACAGTAGAAAAAAAATATTAATCAACCCAATGATTTTCTACTGGAAAGCTTTTGCTGGCAAAACTGCAATGAGGGAGATGCAAAGGGCTTAGCCTGCTGTGGCCTTTCAAAAATATCCCTCCTAGCTGGCTGTAAAATGGTCCCTTCCTTTCCTAGGATGCTCTGCAACCTCCTTGCTAATTGGTCATGCCTGGAGACATCTGAACTGTGCCCAAATATTGCCGTAGCATATTTGCAGCTCAGTGGGTGGCTGGACCTGCAAAGGGAGAAAGGGGAGGAGGATTAGTGGCGATGGGCAACCCCAGGGTGGGAAGGGTAAGGGTTTATCCCACGGCCTCTGAAGACGCCTGCAGCACCCTGCCCTGTGCAGGGGTTAGAGCCAGGCTGCAGTCCCTGGTGGTAAAGGTTAAACATCACCCCCCCGCGGACCCCCGTGGCCTCTGCAGTGCTGCAGGTGCAGGATGAAACCCCGCGGCTGCAGCTGCGCAGGAGGTGGCCCAGGGGCAACTGCGCCACATTGGCAGGGTTATAGCATAACCACCCATCACCCCGGGAGTCATCGCTGTGGGTCCTGTGTCCCCCCTGCAGTATAAAATGGGAAGAAATGGGTTTCTTCACCCCCATTTTCCCCTCCTGCAGCCCTCCAGGCTCATGTCCTGCAACCCCAGGGAGGAACAGGGCTGGGTTAGGGTACGGCACTTGGTGTGAGCGGGGTACGTCCATCCTGTCCATCTTCGTTCACTGTGGCCTGAGCCCTCTCACTGCTCACATCAGAGGAGATTTCTTATTAATTGCAACTAATTTCATGTCCTACGAGGGATGCAGTCTGCCATACAGCTGCTGGCAATGAGTCACACTTATTCTATCCATGACCTGAAAAGTTTCCATTGACACCACTTTTGGGGCATGTCCATGTTCTTCATCGTTAGACCTGGGGCATCACAGGAGGTGGCATCTAATGAGCAGGCCAATCTGCAGAGGAGAATGGGAACCTGAAGGACATTATAGCATCCGTGGGGCACCATGGTGGCATTTCTGAACCAAGATTTGTCTAAACTATTCCTTTTTTTTAAAGAAGTTAAATTATAAATGATAAAAGCCCTCTGCTAGCTAGCTGCAAGGCAGTTTGGACAATGGTTAGTCCTTTCCTATAGAAAACAGAAAACTCTGTGGTCAGGTTTTGTTCAGTTTCTGAGCAAACGCACACCAATCTCAGACACTTTCTGGCTTTCTTCGCACAGCAGAGGTACCTCTGTACTATCAGCTTCTAGTACACTGCACGCATCTTTCCAAAAGCTGAAGGGATTGTAGCTGGGGAAGGACAGCCCTGGAGCGCCCCAGTGCCTGCAGAGCATGAGCGCAGGGATGCAGGGAGACCTCTGTGTGCAGGGGGGAGCGGAGCTTTTTAAAGCATTTGCTGGTGGCACCTTTGTGAGCTGTTGCACTGCTGCAGCGATGGGATGGCAGCTGAGCAAGGGTGAAAAATCCCTTTTCCTGGCCATCGAGCCCCATGCCCCAGCCCAGTGGGGAAGCCTGGGCAGATGATGCTGCTGACTCTGCTCCACCACCCGCAGCACGGCAGGGATGAGCCTGTGGAGCCAAGGGAGGAGCTGAGCCATGGCCGATGCTGGGGGACCGGCATGGACAAAAAGGGTGGAGGTGGAGGGTTCACCGCTGGGCCCTGGGGTGAGGGTGAGGAATGCCCTAATTACAGCACAGTTGTGGAAACTGGAAGCTCTCCACTGTCCTGTGGCCAAAGAAACAGGCTCTGCATCGGGATGAGACACAGGACACTGTTCCCAAGGGAAAAAAAAACCTCTGCTGATACTGGTCTAGCTCCTTAGTGGGTATAAATGGGTGTCTTCTGCTGATCTGCATCAGATGAAGATCTGGCCTCCCTGAGCGGCTCAGGCGGATGCAGGTCTGCCGGCAGAGCCCTCCTGCGAAGCAGCTGGAAAGCCACCCCTGGGCAAAGCGGGTACCCAGAGAGAAGGGCGGTTTTACACCAGAGCCTTGCCTGCACGCAGCAGAGTCCCTTGTCACAGCTCCCTTGGCCAAGAGCACGTAGCTTTCCTCTCCTGGTTGTAGATCTGGGACAGCAGATACGGCAGCCTGGTGCATGGAGTGGATCTGGATGAAAGTCAGACTCGTTCCCCTGAGTATCCCCTCCCCGCACGGACTCATGCCCGTGCCTAATTTCATCACCTTCAGCTTTGTGGACCTCCAGTTTGGTCTGGGCTTCAGTGATGAGCTCAGGGTGGCCAAAATAGCTTTTGTAAAGCGAAGTCTGGTCTCACAAAGCGACTGGTGTTTGCTGAAGGCATCAATGAGCTTGTAGACAAGGGCAACCTGGTAGATAAGAGTTTTCCTGGATTTCCAGAAGTGAAGACCTTTACGTCAGTCATGGCTAAGAGGGAAAGTCCAAACAGAGGTAAATTATCAATTAGCAGATAGGAAACTATGGTGAGATAACAAACTCTCCTGATAATTCTAGCATATTTGGCATAGCAGAGATGAAGACTGATGATGCACACGTTCAGAAGGATCATGCAGGACTTGGGGTATGGAGATAAAATGGCAGGAAATGTAAAGTATAAAGTGACACACAGAGGGAAAAATCCAGCATGACTTCATATATAAGATGACGGGCTCTGGGCTGGCCGTTACCTGCTTGGGAGTGGTAGCTTGGGATTATGGTGAACATGAAAAAACATGAGGAACATCAGGGAAAACATGAGCTAAATGCTCCGTGGCAGCAAAAATCTCAAACCATGACAGAACAATGCTTTGTGCTGCCAAACAGCTCAGCAGGACCTCATCCGAATTAAAGGAGAGGAGGGAGCTTTCCCAGCAGTGGGGAATAGACCTGGGGAACTCCTTGCTGAAGGGTGGATTTTATACTAACAGTTTTCCTAGGTTTGAGGGAAATTGGGCAAATCCATGGAGGAGAAACCCACTGAGGGGTCTTAAATAAAAAAGAAACCACGTTCAGCTCAAACAGTCTCTGAGCTGAAAATAAAGACTGGGGGAGTGTGAGGGGCGAGTGTCATTGAGGCTTGCCCTCTGCTTAAATGCCTGTCTAGAATTTCTTCATCTTAATAATAAGAGGAATCACAAACTGTGAGGTTTTATATTCCTTTGCCGTGTACATCCTAGCTGGGGGTGTTCTTTCACTATGTTCAGTCTAATCCTTTTTAAGATCCTGTTAAGTCCTATGCTTCAGTGATATCCTTTGGCAATGAGTTTTGCAAGTAAAGTACTCACTGTGCATTAATCAGAAAGGTTTATTGCTTTAGAGTATCTTGCTGATGCTGAACTGCTATATATAGTTCATCAGCAATTAGCAGGACGCTTGCAAGGTTATTTAAGTAATTTTTTTTTTCCTTATGCCACAACTCAATTTTCTGTGTGTATGAAAACACTTGAAAGACAACTGGTTACTGCAAGAAGAAAGAAAAACAGAGAACAAGCCCTGCTTGGAGTGGATGGCTCATTTGACAGGGCTATCTTTTAGAAATGGGATTTTAATCAGGAACCTTTGATTAAAATAGTTCCTTTGGTTGCTCAGGTCCTGGGCACACCCCTGTGGTCTGCAGGCATGCGTGGCAAGCCCAGCCTTATAACCAGTCCCTTGGGCTGGCGGAGAGATGGATCTCACCAGGGTCAGAGACCAAATTTGTACTCAAGGGGTCCTGGATGAATTTTTCTGCAGGCATCCACTGTGATAGCTGCCCAGCTGCCCCAGCAGTAGGAGCACTGGGGTCCTGGCCACACTGGGGCTGGCCCTAGGTAAAAACCAGGCTTGGCCCCAGCTCTGCTGTTTCTGGGTGTCCCCGTCACCCCGATAAGACCGTCCCCCCTTGCCTTCGCACCTGCCCTTTGAAGGAGAGTGTCGCCCTGTGTGAGCATGGGGGGGTGGGCTCTCGGGACCAGCCGGGGGGGACAATAGGTTTGATGGACCAGGTCCGGGCATGGGATGAGCCTGGGCACACAGCTCCCCTCTGGCCCAGGGCTTCAGCACTGAAAAACTGGACACCCCCATGCTTCAGCCACTTCCTCTGAGACTTCGTGAGTCCTCGCTACTGCAGCAAAGCTCATAACGATGGGGAGGCCGTGATGGCTCAATCCAAGATGTCCAGAAGAGGCTGAAAGGAGCAGGGCACCCTCCCATGCTCTTTGGAAAGGGCTGGACTGCACCCAGATGGAGGTGTTTTAATGACTGTTTTGGATCCCTGGGAGCCAGCCTCCTCCCACTCAGCCCAAGGTAATTCACCTCCTCCACCAGTGCTGGAGGAGTTGTTGACTGGTGGAGAGCAGCTGGTAAAACAGGTTCTCTGCAGGGAGTTGTCTCTGAAACCCTGGGAGACCTGGATGGATCGAGCCCCAAGCGTGGGTCTCTGCTCGAACCCTGGCACAGCAGGCAGCAAGGAGTGATTTGCTTTTGCGTGGCACTGCTGGGCAGGGCGTCTTTTGCACGGCGCCGCTAGTAGACAAATTACAGCCTTGCCTCTGTCAAGGTAGATAAGAAACCATGTGATGCAGCGTGGTGGTAAACGGGTTGCAGGCAGGGTAAAGGTGCACAGGGAAATAACCTTGCAGGGAGTTCCTCCCTCCTCGGGGACCAGAGTCTCCGGGCAGTGCAGATCTCCGTGAGTCCGTCAGCACCTTGGCCTTGATGCCTGCACAAGTTTTGGGGGCTCTCTGCAACTCACGGAAAGCAGGAA